AGGTAATGACATAATGTCCGAGGAAGCTGCTGACTGACTAGACGACGGCGCAGTGATGACTTCAGCGCTTTGGATGTCGTTTCGGAATAAGTGATTCAAAGCTGGGAGTTGTTTTATTATGCTGCCTGAATGCTGAAAAGAAAGCTATGGAGGATTTGTTAACTGGAATGCAGCGCCTCGTGAACAGGGTACACTTCGCGCCACGACATTGCTTCACCTTGGAAGAAGATAATTGTGGGTGCATTAAAAGGTAATGCACTGCTTCACGTCCTGAAGCCTTCTGAGACTGAGCATCTCCGAGTGTAAATGGCTTTTTCAGTAAAGGTGGCGTTTTTTTTTTCTCGCCTAATGGTTAACTGGGTCCTACCTCTACTACATACAAATGACTCTATAATTTTTTAAATAGCTGTGAGTGATCGGATTTGTATAATACTTAGGAATTTCGAATTTGAAGTCGTAGGGGCAAATTCAGAAATACTTCGGATAAGTGGCCTTTTATACAATATTTATTTATTTATTTATTGCAAATGGCTGCGCCACCAGAGCCATTCATCAGAAAAAAAAACAAGCACTTTTCGAAGAATCCATCTCACAGAATGAAACGAAAAACATTAACGGACGACGCAGTATAGCATACATTCAGGATTAGTTGAAGAAAGTATTAGGTTGTCTCGAAAGTTCGTGCGTATTTTTTGGATCTCATGCCACAAGCTCCTTCAACAAATTCAAAATGTGTTCACGTAGGCTGTGGATAGGGCACACTGTGCAGTAGCTTATACCCGAATCCTGCCCACCATCGTCGCCTTCTTCGAGTTCAAAGTGGAAAGAGAAAAGAGCTATGTTTTTCGCGCTCTGACTTAAGCAGCTCTACTGAGCCACAAACCGATTGAAGCCTGAAGCGGCATCTGCATCGCGATACATCTCCTCGCCCTCACCAACAGTGAGGTATCAGAATAGCTGGATCTTCTCTGCCCAGGAGACTACAGCCGGTAGAAAAATCCACGTTCAGAGAGGCCATCAGTGTCGGATTTGGAGAATCTGTGCTCTCTCGTGGGAGTCACTCCACACGGGGCTACCTGCTTTGTGGCAACCACATCCTGGTGTTCCAGATGCACAATGCGTAGAGGTTCTCGCTCCTTCGTAGAATGGTTGAAGCCTCACCAAAGATTCCCTCATGAGTTGATCACTGATGACAGGAGTGCGGCACGAGTCCCGTCTACAATTTGTGTCCAGCTCCATCCGTACGCCCTGGTTGAACAAAGCTAGCTACTACTGCAAGTTGAGAAGCTCAGGTTCCATGACAACCACACACCTAGAATCTCCAGGGACTAGATGGGACAGAAGAGGGTGAAAAGTGAAGAAATTCACCACAAGGTCGTGCTCCACCTCTTTTGGAGCGTTATCGAGTAAGCCACTAGAGACATGTCAATCATTATAAATATGAATTTAGTGTAGGAGGTACAAGGCACAGACTCACGAGAGTAAACCCAACAAAAATGATATATAGAAAAAGTGTGTACGCTCAAAAAAACACAACAAACCCGAGGCCACCCATTGTCGATAAAGAAGCGAATATACAAAGATATAATAAAGAAAAAAGAGACTGAAAGGCCTCCCATTCATCGTGCAGGCGATAGTCATTCTTTTGCAAAGACATCTGCCTGTTTCTGGCTGCAGGGCCGCCCTTCTTGACGCAAAAATCCAGACAACGATCCCAATATAACATAGAGAATATTAGCATCACATCAGCCTATTAATTCAGCCAATCAATAAACTGAAAGCCCCTTAATGAAAAGGAGATTTAAAGTTGCCAATCTTTGGTTGGATGTTGGTAACAAGTCACTGATAGTGGTGGTACATATAATGATGATAGGTTGCACACGTGCTTGGAATAGTGCAGGCTCAAAAATAAGTTCAAAATACGCACGAACTTCTGAGACAACCTAATAGAATCCAATAGTGGGATCTAAAGGATAAACGCAGAAATAGAGACATAAGAATCGCGTCAATTCTTGCTGTAAGAAATCAAATGAGAAAAATATTCAGTGTACCGAGACAAAACCAAGGATATTAATGATTATAGATATATAGAAAGATTTACATTTCGATAGATTCGTAATAATTAGAGAATTTTGCACGTCACACACACTCAAAGAATAATATAATATAGAGGGAACATGAGAATAAAGATAGAGGAACAGAGGAGATAGTATGTGAAATAATAAGATGATGTATGAAAATAACCTAACACTGTTCCCTAGTTAATAACGCAACAAGAGTAAAGTACCTTACCATAGCGCTAGATCGTCACTTTGAAATTGACTGTAGGTATAGTTTTAAGTCAGAATCCAACATAACGGGCTGAAGGGCAACTAATATGTTGCAAAAGATAATGAGTTGCAACACATCTTACTTCCAGCGATTCTACAAATTTACGCGTAAGAGCAAAGTAATAGGGGCGGAAGTGGTGTAGTGACAAGTGGCGCGCTTACCACGCGAGCGGTCCGGGGATCAAATCCTGGGTCGTGAGTCGCCCGGGCCAACCAAGCCTTCCATCCCTCCGGGGTCGGTTAATTGGTACCAGACTTGTCTGGGAGGATAAAAACACTGACTTGTACATCGGCTGGCCCGCAAGTCATTGTATAGGCCACATCGCATTCAAACGCCACTACGAATGTACAAATGGAAGTAGAATGCGTGCCGCATCCCAAAAAGGGATTGATCAACGGCAAATGCTTTATCCTTTATCCTTTTAAGAGCAGCTAAAACTCTGGTCGGCCCATATCACCGTAAAAAGCATTAGGCCCCGATCCAAACAAGCTGACCAACACTAACAAATAGTTTAAGGTACAGAAAGTCGCAATAAAGAAAAAAAAGGTTATCATTGGGGGCCTTTAAATTGACGAAGTGCTGATAATGAACGCCTGGGACAATTGGCAGCAAGGAGCGCAAAAACTAAAGGGTCCTTGGTGGGCCAGCCAATACGCACAGAGAGCATTTGCTCTGTACGCTATTGCACGATTGGTAGGCGAGCTTTTACTCGCTTATTCATCACAATCGCCAACCCACTTGACCAGGCGCCGGCGTTTCTTGATTGTGTTTCTAGAATAGGACCTATCAAAACAACAGGCATATTCCTTACCATTTTCGCATTTCCCTTAATTTGAATACCGCTTGATGCGTCCCGAAAGATAAGTAATTTCACGACAGAAACTCGAGCCCCTTTTTTTGAAAAAACACAGTATGCCTGGATATTTCAGGATGAGCAGCAGTGATCTATGTACGCGCAAGAAGTGGGACATCAAAATGGCGCTCAATGGTCTTCATCTAAGAAGATCCGAACTGGCGCGAGATTGTGTGCAGAAGAACATCAATGATGCGACCATATCCGAATCGATATTGGATCCAGACGAGGTTAATTTTATTCTTATGTTGATGGAGATGTAGTGGCATATGGTTTGCGGGACGGAAAGGCAGTCATCGAGCTGAGCGGCGACTGCGCGGGACGCCCCATACGAGAATTTTACTTTAATGAGACAATTGGGTCCGGTCCCAGTTCACTGCACAGTAAGCTGTCTGGTGATGAACCACGAGGACTAACAGAGAATACATCTGCTGCTTCGGCAGTAGTGTGGTGTGCTACTGATGCTCGCCATCTGGGTTCAGGCTAGTCGCGCTTCACTGTAAGAACCGGAACGGTGATTTTTGCATAACGTTTCCTAATAATTGGTGCATACAGTTGAATCGAGCGATTCAAATTGTGAACAGGCTGCATCAGGCTCTCCTTCACTGTCCTCACCGTCTCGAGATATGACGTCATCTGCCATCACCGTCGAGCTCAAAGAGCCTACCGTAATCGCTCCGACTGAAGCTGCTACATAATTTCTTCAATCGGTTGAACTGGTGAATAGCTTTCTTAGAGACACTAGCTCTGACTGTGCAAACCGCTTCCAACCAGCGTTCCAGATAACGTCGTAATGGTCCATGGTCCGTCGAGACCTCGTTGAGCTCGAACCGTGCACCATGTTTCCGTGGGAAAATCTTCTGATGCCGTCGGTGTAGAAGGCTATTATGAAGTTTTTTGATAGAGTGGAATGTAAACTTCAATACTCAGTTGGGTGCATTCGGTTTGAATTTAGCAACGTGTAATTGTAAGGGTTATGAATAAGGAGTGACTTTTTGGCCCCTCCCAATGTACATCTTTTTTTCAGTTGAAATCGTGTCCGTTCAATCCATGCCAGGTTTCCATTCGCCCCAGGAAACAAGCGGAAAAAACGCTCTTCAAAAAGCTCCAGAAAGACCATTTCGAAAAAGAAGGTTAGTCTCTTAACACTTGTTCGACCTTTCACAACTTTTTTTTCCAAGTAGTACACTGCTCCACAAAATACCATACCAGAAGTACTATCCTGGTCCAGGTAATGTCACTTCTACCCGCAACATACCTGGAAGCTATCAATTCGAAATGTTCTCAATAAATGCTTCAGTGTGAATGTGTGCACATATACAGGGGGAAGGGTCCAAAAAAAGACATTTTGCCTATGTCGCACTTCGGCCTTTTTTCTTCGCAGAGATTGCCGTCGTTGACGGGAGTTCCTCAGCAGAGTATTCCCTAAATGTCCCTCTATAAGTGACGCAGGCCCTCCTTCACTGCCCTCACCGTCTTCAGAATATGACGTCATCTGTCGTCGTCGTCAAGGAGGCCTACCGCGACTGCTTCATTCTGAAGTTCTTACGATCGTTCAATGTTGGATAGTTTTCTAGAGGCATTAGCTCCCACTATGCAAGCCCCCTCGAAACTAGCTTTTCAGTAAAGGGTCGTTATGGTACACGATCCTTCGAAGACCCCATTGAGCTCGACCAGTGCACCATGTTTCCAGGGCAAATTTTCTGATGCCGTCCACGTAGGTGGCCACTATGAAGATTTTCTTATAGAATTGGAATGCACTCTCTTCAATTCCAGGTTAAGAGCCATTCGCTTTTAACTGAGTCATTGTGTGAATTTAAAACCATCCACTGCTGGAGACGAAACTTTTTTTGTTGCTCCCTTCTCCCTGGAGCAAACTCGCATGCTAGCACGTTGTTCCGATTGAAGAAGACAGGAACATTTTCACTTCCTTTTTTTGAAAAAAAATCGCTCTGTCTGCTTTTCCATATCATAAATTTCCGCTAATAAACGGGCTCTTTTCGAGTGTTTCTTTTCCTGCCATGGCACTGCGTTTTTTTTGATCTGCGAAAAGTGGATTGTTTTGAACAACCGAAGTTGTCAACTGTCCAGAATTGTGCAGCAGTTGCGAACTCTTATAATTCGTGAGCTGGCATTACAAGAGCTCTAGGGAAAAGCCTTTGGTTCCTCAGCTGCGCAGGAGACCATGTGTTCCGATCAGATACAACAATAAGTCCACGTTCTGCCGGGAAGGCTTCCCGATCTGCCTCCGTCGTCTATTTGTGAGATCGAGTGTTATTCAGGTTCTTCTAAAATGTGGTTTGCGTGGTTTAGAAAGTTTGCAAGTCAGCCTCTGATGCATAAATTAGTTGCATTTCGTGATGGCAAACCATCTCTGCGAAACTTTTGCCAGTTAATTTCTATTGATTTCGACAGTGTTGCATCTCTTTTATTTTTATTGTTTGATTACAGGCGTACATTTCCATCTTTGCAGAAATCCATCCCGAAGAAACAGTTTACGATGAATACAAGAGCCTCCGCCTTCTTTTTCTACCCATCTGCACAATCTCTCGGCAGTCCCAGGGTCGCTGTCTTCCACAATCGTGGCCACTAGCTATTGTCCAGAAGCATCTCCATGCTGTGGCTGAGGTCGTTCTTTGACGACATCCTTCCAGTCCTTCGGTGCTCCTCGTGGGCGCTTCATTGCGCTATGAACTTCTCCGCTTTCTTTAATGGTGATCCCAGGGCGTATGTGGCACGTGCCCATGCAATCAAAGGTGCTGCTCTCGCACCTTTCGTTGGACACGCAGTGCACGATGTACCGCTCTAACGCCCTTATTTCTTCGGCGCTGTCCATCCAGGTCCAGCCGCGGCCCCATATCAGCATTCTAATCTCAGCGCGTGTGAAGCTGCCTTTCGTGATTCTTGTTCAGGGGCCAGCACTCGCTGCCGTATAGCATCGCAGGCCTTACCACTGTTCGGTACACCTTCCCTTTGAGCGCTCTGGAGCACCTTCGATCGCAGAGGATTCCAGTGGACTCCCTCCATTTCATTCCATGCCGCGTTGATCCGTGCCTCACTTGGCCCACACTGCCGTCGGCGGCTAGATCACCTCCAAGGTATCCAGAGCACCCCATTCAGTCCGATGGTTTTTCCATGATCGTCCATTATTGGCTTCACCAAACTTCGGGAACTTGATCCTCTTGAAATTCACCCTGAGCCCACCTTCTGCCAGCACTTCCTACCTGCCCTTCTTCTCTGCTGTTCGCTATCTTGGTCCCTCCATGAGTCCCTTCACCATGTCATCTAGGTTAGGAAGAAGAAGAACGGGCGCAGAGCTGATCCTGACCGCGATATTTACCTCTTTTGTCAAGCCATGCTACGTGCGCTAGCTGCTTAGGCCTCATCGTACATATCCTTCACCAGAGAGATCAGGTGTTCTGGCACGTTCCGTTCCCTGAGCGCTCTCCACAGTACTGCTCGTGGTAGCCGGTCGAACGCCTTCTCCAGGTCGAGGAAGGCTAGGTAGCAGGGTCGGCGTTTTTTTCGATACTTCTCCATCACTTGTCTAGCGATAAGATGGTATCCTTTGGACTTTTCAGGCATGTACGATCCGTTTCTGGAAGGTGGGGGCCGGCTCCCGCAGCTTCGAGTCGAACACTCGCTCGGGAGTCGGCTTGCTTCACAGTAGAAGCAGTCGACTTGATACCGTGGAATAAGGGTTGAATAAGGGTTGAAGCAATACATCGCGTCACCCTTCTGTTTGATGATGGGGACATTGACAGGCCAGCTGACAAAGACCTCGTTACAAAAACGATATTTAGTCGCAAAAGAATCAGTGGTAAGCTGGGACATCACCCGGAATTGGCGCGCTGAGACCTCGCCCGAGTTCTGCGGTAAGGTGTTAAGCGACAAGATTTGAAGAAGATTCGTTTTCCAAACACGACTAGGTAGAATTGAAAGCTTTCTATCATGAGTCACAAACCTTGTCCGGAAAGTGGCGAAAGACCTTCGGACTCCTTGTTAGCTCCATATCAGGCACAATGTTTGGACGAATCGTAAAACCATTATGTGACATCAGCCCAAGTCTCGCACATTTTGCCTGCTTGACAGCTTTTCATTTTTTGGGATAAATTACACTTTTCCAAAAAGAAAGCAGTGTTTCTCGTGTCAGCCTGCCAAAGAGGGGTCGAGAACAATCAAACAGTTCCATCGAGCCACAACAGAATTCAGCAAAGTGCGGTGGAGTATGACTTTGACGAATTCAGTGCGGTTTTTTTTTCAAAAATGTTTAGGGGGAAAAATTTCTGTTCCCTAGTTGGAACTTGGTGAAAATTTGCATCTATATTTAGCACGCACTCACATTAAAACCTCCAAGGAAAAGCATTTCTAAATGATAGTTTTAGGGAATTTCGTAGGAGGAAGTGTCCCTAAGAGGATCTGTGGAAAGGTATCGATCACCATCTATTGTGTGACTCTGACCTAGCTTTTCCAGAGAATGTGTCCGATAAAATCATGAAGGCATATCGAATTAGGAGAATTTTCTTAAGTATCAATCTTTTTTTACAGGCACTCAGTTGTCGCAAAGACACGAAGTTGTGGCACAAACAGTGTTCAGAAATCGCTAAATGTTGCCCGTTGACTGAAGAGTGGGTTTTTTCGTATTAAAGTATTTATTGTACAATGCGTTACCTTATTAAGAGTCTTATACCATAATTCATACACTGGGACGCTTGAAGCTTCATTTCAGGCCTGAGCAGTCTGATTTTGGCGGTGGAAACTACTCTTCTCCTGGTTTCGCGGCTTACGCTTACGTTCCTTATGATTCAACATTCTCATGCTGTAGGGGAATACGTGATGAAGAAGGCGCAGTAAATATCATATTACTTTGCAAATCCGATCAATTTTTTAAAAATATTCGCAACTGCATTTAAATTCTTAAAAGTCAGAATGTTTGATTGATTAAGCAACAGCTCTCTCCATTACTCTTCTGCTTGCGCGCTAAATTTCGTGCGACTGCTTGAAGGGAAGATTCCACGATAAGTTCGGAGGGTCGAAGAAGATAAACATACCTAATGATATGGCAGGTGTACTCCTGCATTTTGCAGGGAACGATATGCCCAACGCGATTCGGCCACGCCGTCCCCGCGCGCTGAGCGCCAATGCCCGGCCGCCACTGCCCCGCCGACTGGGTAACGGGCGAAGAATGGGTCTCACTTCTCGGGTTCTGGAGTGTTTCGCATAGTTTTGTCTTCACCCCGGCACCACTGATGACTACCTCTACCTTAATTCTAATGGCAACCTTCTAATCGTAAACTCCGCCGCTGAGAAAGTGAGTAGAATTGTGGGTGTAAGTAGAATTTGATGTAAAGTATGAATCGTGGTTTTCAGTCGCTGCACCGAGTTTCCCTGACACGAATTTCTAGTTCTTGACGGTACGACGTGCTATGTACTGTAGTAAAAGGCCGCGTGGTCTCACATGTGTACTGTTGCTCCAACTGCGTTGTACAACTGTTGAAATCGGTTTATTTTCAGTTGTAAAGTAAACGCCAAAGAGATAATGGAACAAATCCACGACGAGCGACGAAAGCTTCGAGAGCTAATCGCAAACTGTGATTAGATAGACATATTTTGGTGTTACAGAGAAATGATTTATAATAATGCTTGCTGACAGTTAGGAGTATATTTGTATGACATTCCATAGCATCTTTCGAATGCTGTCTGAATGCGTATTGTCGGCTGACGTTCTTTCTTTCTCGCTTGCTCATACCGTCACTGTACTTTTGTATGTCACAGACAATTTACTTTTGCTTGCGATAGGTTTCCATTGCAAAGACATGCTTATGTCTTTTATTCTTCTTAAGCTGGCCGGATTACCATCAAACGACATATTCTGAGATTGTTTCACTTGAACGAGCATTGGCACTGACCATAAGCTGGATTCACATTCCAAAGTTTGAATTTCAATAAAATTTCGCATAAAACAGACTCGTTGGAAAGGATAAAGGCTCTCAGCTGCCCTGGTTGAAGTTCGTACCACTGTTTTCCATTTTGTTGCAGAATTAGGTCCAAAAGCACATTCCACGATCGAAAGATTATTAAGTTGACCAAAAACTGTAGCCGTGCAATACTTGATGGTTTTTGAGTCATTAAAAAGCTAATAACCTCCTGCTCTGTCGCGCGCTGGGTGCCCCTGGGTGAAATGGAATGGGAATGCATCGGCGGAGAGCACAGAGGGCA